AAAGGTTGTAAGTACACATCGATTCTGGATTTTGGACTGGACGGCCCTCGAATGACGCACGTCAAAAACATGTATGGTTTTATCATGCACATCTCAGGAGGGAGGTTGTAAGGGGTTACAATAACTGGCCAACAAGAATACGCACTTTCCGACGCTTTCACATATGGGGCAAAACCATCAAAGCATAATCCAAGCCTAACATTTCTAGGTTCTGCGGAAAAATCAGGATGTGTCTGATCAAAGTGCTTCCATGCCACACCATCAGATGGATGTCGCATAGTGCCTGAACTTGTTTGGTTTGTATGATGCCATATCATTTGACTTGCACTGTGCATTGAAGCAAACATTCTTTTTAACCTTGGTATTATCGGAAGATAAAACATGGACTTTACTGCTACACGCTTTTGCTTGATGTTAATGGCTCTACTGTGAACTTGATATCTTAGACTCTTACACTTGCATTCCTCCAACAATCCATCTTGAGTACCAAACTCGTTGTCATAAAATAACATGCAACCACTAATGTAACAATCAATCTTTCTTACTTTTAAACTCAACTTCGACACCCACTTCTTTGCATCATAAAAATTTGTTGGCGAGTTGTGTTTTGTTGCGGTGGAGTCCAACATCATTTTTGCGAAATGTTCCAAATACTGATTAGGAACATTCCAATTTGACTTAGCGACCAATAATATCACACACATTGATAACTTTGAGTCTGACGACTCCTTGAACAACGACGTATTCATCTCATTCAACAACTGATAAAATCTCTGCACTTCCTCATTTGGCAACTCTTCCCCGTCAAAATCTTCAGGTTGATCATATGTCACGTTCACACCAAAAGCATCCTAAACAATCTCACTAATCAAATTAAAGTTTTCCTCATATTCCATAGGCGGTCGACTACTTTAAGCATGTGTGTTTCTAGTCTCTGGTACGTTACTCGACAGTTCTTCACCATTATACGTCCAAACCCAATAATTTTCAATGAAATCCCTTCTATGTAAATGACGTGCTACTTCCTCCGGGTCACTAATTATTGGTCTACATTCACATTTAAGACAAGGACACCTAACTCCTCCTTCGCTTCGACAATATTCTTGAACAAACGCTCACGTGATAAACTCATTAACTCCTTCTATAAAATGGGGTTTAAGTGCACGTCTTCCTGAATACAATCTATCGTACATCCAACTACGACCATACCGATAATATTCCTTACTACACATTTATACAATCATTATCTTTTTAATTACATTTGTGATTTTAATATATCAACCAATTTTATACTATTTAAAATATAATATACTTTCACATAATATGTTAACTATAAATAAACATTAACCATAAACATATCTATAAACAAATAATTTTATTTACATTTTTAATTATAAATATTAAGCATAAAATTTTTGTTTTTATTTTAACTAAACATTTTTAATAAACATATTACATAACATATTATATATATAATAAACATATTAAATAACTACTATATATATATAATAAACATATTACATAAAATATAATTACCATATATTCTATGATTTTTATGTTTAAAAAATATTATTCCACACAAATTTTATTTTTAAATTTTATAACAATATATAATGTTATAATTTTTATAACCAATTATTCTATCTTTGTTTTATTTTTCTTTTAATTTTAAAATATATATATATATATATATATATATATATATATATATATATATATATATATATATATATATATATATATATATATATATATATATATATATATATATATATATATATATATATATATATATATATATATATATATATATATATATATATATATATATATATATATATATATATATATATATATATATATATATATATATATATATAACATTTATTATTTTAGGAGACAAAAAATATTTTATAAAACATTAACTATTAATATATTCTGTTTTATTTTATCTCAACTATACATATATAATATATTCTATAATTTACAATACATATATATAATATATTCTATTTTTATATATTTTATAAAACATATATATTATACAAAACATAAAATATTAATATATTCTGTTTAAAAAATATTTTGTTTAAAAAAATAATTTTTCTATTTTATAAAAATATATATAAAAATATATATTATTTTACTATTTTCTATTATAAAATATTTTTCTGTTTTATTATTTTATTTAAAAAAATATATATTATATTTAAGTTTTTAAAATATATTATACATTTTCTGTTTTATATAAATAAATAAATATTTTTGTTTTTTTTCGTGTTTTATCAAAATATATATTATATATCTATTTTAAAAATATATCTAACACCAACAAAAATAAAATATAAATAAATAAATGAAAATATATATTAAACAACATAATAATCCAGTATATCTTTGTTTTTTTTCCTGTTTATCAAAATATATATTATACAATATAATAACCCAATAAAAATTTCAGGAAAAAAAATTAAACAAGTTAAATACCTCTTCTTCAATCTCCTTTAATCTTTGTCAATATTATTCAATCTGCTATCAATGAATCTCTTCAATATTGCTTAATCTTTGGAAAAAAAAATTAACTAAATCAGAATAATTATAAGTATTAAATATAATTATTAAATTAAATTAAAATATATGAAAGAATAAAAACTTATACCTAATACACAAATTTTAAATTGGAAGATTAATTGGGAGTGGAAGATGAAGAATGAATGGCTTGCCAGGAAGAGAGAAAATATTGTGTTTCTGTTTGAAGAATCAAAACAAATATTGAAATGTGTTTATGGGAAGAGTGAACTGCGCGTGCAAGTATATATGGACATCAGCGACGTGAATATCACGTCGCAATTTTGCCACGTGATATTCACGTTGCAAGCCTAAACGGTCAATAAAATAATGAGTCAATCAGTGACGTGATTATCACGTTGCAACTTTGCCACGTGATAATCACGTCGTAACTCACAACAGTCAGAATAATAATTACACAACATGCGCACATCCTGTTGAAAGTCAGAGACTGTTTCAATTAAATATTTGCAATGTGATTTTCACGTCACAATCAATTATATAAAATTTTCAAATTTTCCTCCTTCTGAGCGACAGTCCTTTTTGATTTTTTTTTTAATTTATAACTTGCGACATGATAAACACGCCGCAACTAATTTTTAATAAAAAAATTAAATCCCCACATCATAAGTTAACATTTATTATATTTAACATTAAAAATTGTAGTGATGTGATTATCACGTTGCAACAGACAATTTTTTGTCACGTGATAATCACGTCACAAAAACACTTCGCATGAGAGAATATTTCTTGTAGTGTGTTCTTTTTTTAGAGTTTATCATAGATATTTTTATTATAGTCTCCATGATCACTATTATAAAATAAACGAGTAAACTACTTTGAGAAAATTCAGTATTCTGATATTATGAAAAATCATAAATATTGTTATTTGTCTTTAATTTATTATTTGGTATTATATGAAAAATATAATAGTAAAGTATATAGCAACAACAAGAACTATTTTAAACATTTGTTTTAGGTGTTACTTTTATTGTTATAATTATATTTTAGGAAAATAAATAACACTTTATTGTGTTTAATTTCTCTCACCTCTTATGTATGACATTTTGTTATTTATCATTAGTTTATTATTTGATATTACATAAAAAAAATATATTAGTAAAGTATATAGACACGGTAAAAGATTGTTGTATAATATATCATATTTTAAAATAAGTTTAAAGTAACTTATATTTAAAAATCATGTAAAGACTATTTTAAGATTAAAATCATTTATTTCAAGTGTTACTTTTATTGTTATCATGAAATATGAGAGACTGTTTTAAGTGTTTCGATTTCCACATTTCTTTTATTTTTAAAATATGAGAGAATATTTTTAATTGAAGAGAATATACATAATTAAAATGATGATTGGTTTGTTTGATCAGTTTATTCAAACTAATATTTTATTTCTTCTTTGTGAGGATTTGAGTCTCTGACTTTCAATTTGTAAAAGTATTAAATTTAACATTTTAAAAAGTGAAAATGAATTTTAGGATGTATAAGACTATTGGATGATGTGATAAATTTTAGAATTATAATTAATAATTAATTGATTATGTGTTGCTACTATATTGTGATAGAGCTCTCAACAAAAAAACACAAATGAAAAATTGGGTTAACTGATTATTTACCACAGTTAAAATTTCTAATGATGCTGAAATGTAATACGCTATCCAATTTTTTACCATATATCTTATCCCATAATAGAGAGGCGCACTTAATACCACACCCTTCCTTAGCACAAACCAACCGTCCGTGATGGAATCTTTTTCACAGATGTAATGATAAATACTTTTTGTGGTTGTGATGTTACTATCTAGGTGATTTGTGTGAGTGTTTATTTCAAAGACCACTCATTTGAACATTTTACGTGTATTGCACAACACTGTTCAAAAGTTTGAAAGTTTACTTCAGGACAAAAATATTTTTGGCCCTTCATAAAGTTTGAGAAAAAATATCGTTCATTCAAATGTACATTTGATTATTGTGTCATTTCTACTAAATTAATAATATTTCACTATGGTGCCATTTCTACTAAATTTGAATTTACAGTTGAGACATATATATAATATCTTTCATTCATTGTGAAAAAAACTGAAACACAGTCCTCATTGGTGTGCCATTCAAAGTGGTGTAGGAAATAGACTTTTAGTAAGAAAAAATTGTAAGAACAATAATAAATCTAATATCATTGAAGAGTAAGTGAAAAATAAAAATAAACAATATCTATGTCCGTTCAGTTGAGTAGTCTTAAAAACATGAGAGTGAGATATCTGAATTCTAAGTCAACAAGAATAGTATGACGTGAATAACACGGCTTCCATACCTGCCGACTGAGTTAATAGTAGTCACTAAGCACTTATGTATTCCACATATTTAAATGCTGCATATGAACTAGTTACCCATAATAAATAATCTCCTTTAGAAAAATGAGAATTTCTATTACCTTTTTTTCCTTCTTTATTAGTCAAGTGTCAGTGTATTGCATGCCATCAGCGACATATACACTTGCTTTGAGTTCGGAGACCGATAAGCTTGCTTTGCTTGCTTTGAAAGAAAAACTTACAAATGGTGTGTCTGATTCTCTTCCATCATGGAATGAGTCTCTACATTTCTGTGAATGGCAGGGTGTCACATGTGGCCGTCGTCACATGAGAGTCTCTTTCTTGAAATTAGAGAATCAAACATTGGGTGGTACTCTTGGTCCATCCATAGGAAATCTCACATTTCTTAGAATACTTAGGCTTTCAAATATCGGATTGCATGGTGAAATTCCAAAACAAATTGGTCATTTGAAGCGATTGGAAGTTCTTCACTTAAGCAACAACCATCTTCGAGGAGAGATTCCTTTTGAGCTAACTAACTGCACAAATATCAAGGTAATTTATTTAGCGTCCAATCATCTCATAGGAAGAGTTCCCGCTTGGTTTGGATCGATGATGCAACTTATAGAGTTGAATCTCCGTGATAATAATCTCGTGGGAACTATTCCATCTTCTCTGGGAAATGTTTCATCACTCCAAAATATAACACTTGCTTACAATCACTTGGAAGGAAGCATACCTTATTCTTTGGGTAGGATAACAAGTTTAAAACAAATCATTTTTGGTTCAAATATACTGTCAGGGGAAATTCCTCATTCTCTTTACAACCTATCACATATTCAAATTTTTGATCTTGGGGAAAACAAGCTATTAGGTAGTCTTCCATCAAATTTGAATCTCATTTTTCCCAATGTTCAGAAGTTCTTTATAGGAGATAACCAAATAAGAGGAACTTTTCCATCTTCAATATCCAACCTTAGTGAGTTGCAAGGCCTTGATATATCATTGAATGCTTTTAAAGGACCAATACCTCTTACTTTGGGTAGATTAAATAAACTTGAGATTTTTGATATTGGCTTTAATAATTTTGGAAGTGATTTGGACTTCCTTTCTTCATTAACAAATTGTACTCAACTAACAATGCTCATTTTGGGCCAAAATAAATTTGGTAGTAAGTTGCCTGACCTCATGGGAAACCTTTCTATAAATCTCAGTTTTATCGATTTGGGGGTTAATCAAATATATGGAGTGATACCGGAAAGAATTGGACAACTAATAGGTTTAACTTACTTAGACATGGGAAGCAATTCCCTCCAAGGATCAATTCCAAATTCAATTGGAAAGCTTAAGAATCTAGTAAGATTGGTCTTGCAAGAAAACAAACTATCTGGTAACATTCCTACAAGTATTGGAAATCTTACTATCTTGTCTGAATTATATCTTTCAAGCAATAAATTGGAAGGAAGCGTTCCATTTTTCCTTAGATATTGCACCCAATTGCAGAAATTAAGTATTGCTGTAAACAAATTGAGTGGTGATTTACCAAACCAAACATTTAGTTATCTAGATGGTTTAATATATATCTATTTGCATGACAACTCCTTGACTGGATCTATTCCTTCAGAGTTTGGTGGCTTGAAGCATCTTTCACAATTGTATCTTGACTCAAATAATTTGTCCGGTGAAATCCCTAAGGATCTTGCTGCTTGTTTGGCATTAACAGAACTCTCGTTGAGGGGAAACTCTTTTCATGGAAAAATACCTTCGTTCTTTGGTTCTTTAAGATCCCTTGAAATCTTAGATATTTCTAAAAACAATTTCTCAAGCACAATCCCTTCTGAACTAAAAAATCTCACACTTCTAAATACTTTGAACTTATCTTTTAATAGTCTTTATGGTGAGGTTCCCATAGGCGGTGTCTTTAGCAATGTCACAAAAATTTCATTAATTGGTAACAAGAACCTTTGTGGAGGGATACTTCAATTGAAGCTTCCAAAATGCTATATGGATTCCTCTAAGACACACAAACACTCTCTAAAAAAGAAACTTATCATCATCATCATCATCATTAGTGTAATTGTCGGGGTTTTGATCTCTTTCATAGCGTTTACAATTGTCCATGTTCTCACAAGAAAGTCCACAAAGTTACCTTCTTCGCCATCTCTGCAAAATAGGGCACTGAGAGTTACTTATGGAGAGTTACATGAAGCAACCAATGGATTTTCTTCATCCAATTTGGTAGGAACTGGAAGCTTTGGCTCGGTTTATAGAGGATCTCTTCACAACTTTGAAAGACCTATTGCTGTAAAGGTGTTGAATCTTGAAACACGCGGGGCAGCAAAGTGTTTCGAGGCAGAATGCAGTGCTTTAGGTAAGATGAAACACCGGAATCTTGTGAAGATCCTAACTTGTTGTTCAAGTGTTGATTACAAGGGTGAAGATTTCAAAGCTATTGTTTTCGAGTTCATGCTTAATGGGAGTCTTGAAAATTTGTTGCATGATAATGAAGGGTCTGAAAATCATAGTCTCGGCCTCACACAAAGGGTAGACATTGCTCTTGATGTAGCTCATGCATTGGATTATCTTCACCATGATGAAGATCAAGTTGTAGTACACTGTGATATTAAACCAAGCAACGTTCTTCTTGATCAAGAGATGGTAGCTCACTTGGGTGACTTTGGCTTAGCAAGGCTGATTCATGGATCCACAGGACATTCAAGTAAGGACCAAATTGACTCCTCAACAATTAAAGGAACTATAGGATATGTTCCTCCTGGTAAAGTTATTTCTATCCCTTGCATGTTACTATATATCATTCATATTTATTTGTGAATAGCTAGCACCTACTAATTATTTTGAAGAAAGTATATAATTCAAACGATGAATATTGTATACTTGTCTGTTTAATATAGGTTAGTTGTTAAGAATACACATAAAGAGAGAAGGATATTATCTAGATTCTACAGCTAATGACTACAACTATGCTTATTTAATTTCCCTGCCTTCATTCAATTAGCCAAAGGTACATAAATAGTACAATTGCTCACTAGAATCCAAATTACAATCTAACAACTTTCTAATGACTTAGCATAACAACCTAGAAGTCATGGCTAGAGAATATTCTAAGGTGCTAATTATTTCCAGTTTGGCATCACAAAGTCCTGAAAATGTTTGGGCTTATTTGTCTTCATTTTGGGCCTTGGTCTAGGTGTAAGGTCCACTTCTGCTTCCTCTGTTGGGCTTCTGCAAAATTCATCTTCTATTACATTAGTCATGTAATATATCATAAAACCTTAGTATATAAATCACATTGAGTTTCTGGTATGAATAATTACCTTGTGGCTCAATAGAAAAAGTCATCCATCTTGTTAACAATTTGTCTTTATTTAGCAATTATAATTGCTAGTTATTAATAAAAAATATACTAATTCAATATGTTATTTATTAAAGTTTTTGTTGTTGTTAATTTGAGAAGAATATGGAGCTGGTGGTCCGGTAACACCAGAGGGAGATATCTACAGCTATGGAATTCTGTTGTTGGAAATGCTTACTGGAAAGAGACCAACAGATAATATGTTTTATGAAGATCTTAGTCTCCACAGATTGATTAAGATGAAAATTCCTGAAGAAATTCTTGACATAGTAGATTCACGTTTGGTTATTCCATTTGTTGAAGATCAGACAAAAAACAACATAAAGGAGTGTCTAGTGATGTTTGCTGAAATAGGAGTTGCATGTTCTGAAGAATTTCCTACTCAAAGAATGCTCACAAAACATGTCATACTGAAGTTGATTGAAATTAAACAGAAGTTGTCCCGCTAGACATTGTTACTTCCTATAAGAATTTGTGTTTGTAGTTTATATATAACTAGTAGTTTATTTTTTACTATGATAAAAAGAAATAATGGTGTTCATCTAGATTGACAAGTCTTGGATTCCTCGTGAGTGTTTTTGTAATGTGTTATTTATCGCGCTCAATTCCTATAAGAATTTGAGTTTGTAGTTTATATTTTTTTTTACTAAATCTCTGTTTATAGTTACAATATATTATATGTGTGGTACTGTTTGGAAATGTTATACAAGGTATAATACAATAACGTTGGTTTCAGACAAGTTTAATAACATTTTTTATCATTTAATATAAACAATTTTAAAATTTAAATAATGTGATATATTATTGTTATAGAAAACACAAATACATGTATTAGTTTATGTTTTTAAGTGAATCAGCATCAATCTTCAATTAACGTGCATTAAAATAAATAAGGCAAATGTCACCATGTATTATTAGGATATTAGATAATGTTGGAGCACAAAGAAGATAAAAGGCAAAAGAAATATTTACTGATAGCTTCAAAATAATGATTTACAATGAAATTTACAATAACCTACTCCACTAGGCTATTTATAAACACAGATTAAATCTAAAATATATCTTCTACAAAGATATAAGAGGATCTAAGATATATATATCTTTTAAGAAAGATATAAACAATCTAAAAGATATTCCTAAATATAAACTAATATCTAATTAAATCTAAATTAATTCTAACACCATCCCTTAATTTATATTTACCCAAAACTGACAACACCAATTTCATCCCTTAAACCAAGAAATTGATCAGTTTTGATAGCCTTTGTCAGAACATCTGCCAGTTGCTTCTGAGTGCTACAGTGCACAACCTCTATTATTCCATTCTGAACTTGATTCCTTAGAAAATGATACTTGGTCTCAATATGTTTGCTTCTCCCATGCAACACTGGATTCTTGGCAAGATTGATTGCAGACTTGTTATCAATCATCAGCTTCAGAGGTTTATTCACCTCAATCTTCGGATCTTTCAGCAAGTTCAGAATCCACACAACTTGACATGCAGTCAGAGCACCTGCAATATATTCAGCTTCACAGGTTGACAGAGCAACAACAGGTTGCTTCTTGGAACACCAAGAAATAGGACCTCCCAAAAATTTGAATAAGTACTGTTGTACCCCAAAATTTTCCCTCTCATATTTCTCAATACATTTCAAGAAAGAACTTCAAATTGCTCAAGGAGGTCCAAGGGTTGACCAGACAAGCTCTCTCCTAAGGCAGTCTACCTCAAATTAGGGTTTCATGTTGCATCAAGATACTTGAGTCCAAGGAATCCCAAATGCTTACCATTGTCCTAATAGGTTTTCAAGATCATCCATGTCAAGTTTCAAGCCTTGCATAGAAAGTTTGCTCAATCAATTGCTCAAAGGCCTGAAAATCGACTATGCTAGGGCAAAAGTCAACTGTGGCCCACATACAGTCAAACTTCAAGATTTTTGGTTAACATCCTAATTTTGAAGTATATTTCATCATTTGATCAAGGGTTGATCATGATTCATCAAGGATTGCTCACAATTCATCAAGAACCAAAAGTTGCTAAATTAGGGTTTTGTAGGAAAAGTCAACTCAACTTTGACCAAGCATAACTTTCTCATAATTTATGAGAAATGACCCATCCAAAGCTCATTTTGAAGAGGATTCCATGCTCTACAATCCATATTCATCTCCAAAGTTCAAAATATGCACTCACAAGAAGTTATGAATTTGGACATTATAGGTCATTTTGAAAAGTCAACAAAAACACCTTTTTTGTAAAAGCTTCATACATGAGCATGGAATACCAAATTGAGATGGTACAAAAAGGGTTGCTTAGAGGACATCTCAATATTTTTAAAAAGTCCAAGAACACCTTCAAAGAGTCAAAATTGAGGAAGTTATGCATTGGTGAAGTTGACCTTTTTTGCAAAATTGCCAAAAGTCAACTATGCCTCAAATTGCAAATTTTGCCAAATGGGCCCAATCTTTTGCACTTGTTTTAAGTTGGAAATATGGTCCACGAGCCCTAGCCTTTGACACTTGTCATTATCTTGTTTTTATTATTTATTTTGATTTTTATTTGAATTAAATCAATTTAAATCAAAACAAATCATGAAAAACATTTAAAGCATTGAAAACTCAAGATTTTGTACTTGTTTCAGGTCTCAAATCCAGTTGGAAAGCATTTGAAATCGTGCAAAGCATTGGTGTGGACAAAAAGATTGAATTTGCCTAATTTTAGAAAGATATTCAAAGTGAATCAAATCCAAATCAAATTTAATAATGGAGGAAGATTATGATCATATTGACAACCCTAATTCATTCCTCAGTACATATAGAACGTATGCAGACCTAAAACAAGGATAGAAGGAGGCGCAGCAACAAGAACAAAACTTGAAAAAAACAAGAAAAAGTGCAAACACGAATTCATACTTTGAAGCAATTTCAAGATCCTTTGACCATCACAATCGCTTCCTGGGATCCCCAGCAAGCAAAACCAATCAAGAGCAAGCATTTCCAGACCCTGAATACCACTGTAAGTCATCCATGATATTTAGTTATTTTTGAAATCGGTTTGCATAATTCTGGCACATATAGCATAATGTAATCATATATTCTTGTTCACCATCACATTTGCAAGCTTTCTGTAACAATTAATTGCGTTTTCATGGTCTGTATAAGATTTCACCATTACTAGGGTTTTATGGCTCGATTTAGGATTTCAGCGTGCAGGTAAAATTGGGCCATGAAAGGAGCACCATTATGCTCAGCAGGTCCAGACGAAGCTATTCATGGCTTTAGTTTTGATTTATCTTGCTTATAGTTGATTTTGAGAAATTGCAGGGCTGTAGCGATGGACGTTGTCCGTAGGTAAAGGTTTTCAAACCTTTTAGCCACAGAGAGAGGACAGGGATGATGGCGTGGCTTCATCTAATTCGTCCATTTGAATTTTCGCGCGGATTTCTTTTATTGCGTTTGTTTTTAATATAATAATTGTTATTTGTTTTACATACAACAAAAGCAGCCAGCACAATTGGTAAGTGGAGCGTTGGAAAGTGTTTCAGGGCCTGGGTTCGAATCCCAGGTCCCCCCATTCTTCATATTATTTTCCCTTTCAGGATCCAGCGCGTATACAAGGGCAAGGTCCACCATATGACCTCATCATCCAGCCTGCCAAGTGGCCAGATGGCCAGATCCAAAGGCCATCAATGGAGAAACATCATGAAGCCTAGTCAACGCGTAGCATCAGATCCTGAGGGTCAATGTAGACCTCCTTGTTTTGGGCCAGAAAATTGCTTCTCACACCCCCCAAATTGTTGTTCTCAGGCCCAATAACTCTTTCTCTTTTCTTTTTACATTTTGTTTTATTTTATTTATTTATTTTATTTACTAACACAAAATTAATTTTTCTTATAAAAAAATCACATAAAAATATTTTTAACCCAATTAGATTTAGGTTTATTTTTTATTAATAAATTAAATTAATTTAATTAGGTTGTTAATTTTAGATAACTTTAATTCATTTTTTAAAATAAATTAAAACTAACTAGAACAATTAGGGTTTTAACTTAATTATATTTTCCTTTTTTTCTTAAAATAACCAAAAACATAAAAAAAATAGGCCATTTATTTATTTTCATGAATTAATTTAATTAACTAATTAATTGTGTACTTAATTTAAAAACATAATTCCTTTTTCTTAAAAATATAATTAAAAACAACAAAAACATTTTTTCTTTTAATTAGGTTAGAAGGTCAAAACCCTAGTTCTCTACCGATCTAAATTTATTCGCGCGCGTTTTATTATTATTTTTTTATCCTATTAATGTAATTGCTCACAAGTTGTAATAGTTTAATTAGGACTTTTATTTTCATTTATCGCTTTATTATTTAAGGGTTTATTTTTTGGCTATGTAAATACCCGAAGCCTTGTAATAGCTTAGTTTAATTTCCGCACTTAAATTTCTGCAAAATATTAAACTGTTAGATGTATGAATAATTAGGGTTGCATGACAAGAATGTATGTAAACTTTAAAACAGTTAGCAAACCCTAAATGTGCAAAGATAAATAATTTGAAATTGAATCACTCGCACATGTGCACTCCTAGGGTACACTCCCACTTGGTTGCCTTCGGTAAACGGTCATTGAGTATAGGATGCTTTAGTGGTCGTCCTTTTGTCCAAAGATCAAAGTTGCATCGGAAAGGTTGCCTCGGATATTGTTGCCTCAGATAATTGATCTAAGACATTAGGGTTATTACTAATACGTCCTAACATTGCTTTAGTGACCGTACGTCCCTTTCGAATTGACCCTTAAAACTCCAACGATAATGCTACCTACTCACTAATAGTAGGATAGCGCTGTCTAAAGGAAACAAACATAGAACGGTTCTTTTTTCGAGTAGGTAGATTAGTGCTTAAGTACTTGCTCAATCCAAACAAACTTTTTCACCCTTACACTCCTTTACAAACAAAGTTTTCAAAAACACTTTATTACACTCTTGAAGACAGGAGCAAGAGTTAAATCGAAGTCAAAACGAAAACTTTTCAAATCACACAAGCACACAAAGAAGCAATTTTGAAAATGATGAGCAAGTACCTAAGAGCCCGTAGATAACTACGGATAGAAAGGGTGCTAATACCTTCCCTTTCTATAATCTACCCCCCGTACTCAGAAACATCTCGAAAAAGGATTTTTTCTATGCTTTTTTCCTTTCCAGTTGGATAAAATAAAAGTCGGTGGTGACTCTTGCTTACCGCGACATTTGTGAATACAAAATGCAAACCAGTATTAACAGTCGGTTCTGGCCACCGTATCACAGAACTGCCGACTCTGTTGGGGAGTTAATAAGTGGGGTGTATCTTAGGAATAGTTCATCATATTGTTTGATTTGATTGCTTTAATTTTGTGGGTTTTTGTATCGGAGTTACTATAGATCCTAACCCGGATCTGGGGACACCTTTTAGGTAAGTA